TGTTTAGCTGTATATGGTTCTAGGGTTAAACGGTTACTGGACAAACTAGTTTTCTTTGTGTCAAGTCCATTGGGTCAGGGCAAAGCCCAAGATCCAGACAGCGCCTTTGTTTTTTTTATTACTATTATTATTCTTTTTATTTTTTTTGTTGCCTGTGTTTTGAGTTGAGGGTTTGGGGTTTAGGGTTTAGGGTCCAGGATTTAGGGCTCAGGGTGAGGCTTCAGGCTTGGGTAGCGTTTATTTCGCAAACTGCGCCCCTTCTTTCCCACGGAGGGAGCTTATAAAATACTGTAACATGTTTTCAATATACTATATAATACCATATTGTATTAGCAATTCATGTAATACCATACTATATTGTAATTCATATAATACCACATAATTTATAATTCATATAATACCATATTATATTGTAATTAACCATAATAGAATATAATATGGCATAATATACCAACATATACTAAGGCAAGGAAAATTTCCATGGAACGCTTGGCTCAACAGATTCTGCTCGTCTGCCTTGGCTTGGCCGCAGCAGATCCCTGCTGTACGACCTGCCAGCTGCTGGGCTATTGTTGAGGAACTTAAATCACGTTACCAGAATATGGGGTTTAGGGTTGAGGGTATCTAAGCCCTTAACCCTAAACCGTCAACCCTCAACCCTAAGATGTGGCTAAGATATGGTAAACCACAGGGTTTCCTTATCAAAGTGACTTAAGTTTAGTTCCTTAACAGCAACACAGGCTGCCCAAAGTGAAGGTCTTCAGCACCGATGCCCCGCATGGCTTCTGCGGCGAGGCCTGTATGGAGCCTTAGGTACCCCAGTGATACTCTTTTACCCTTTTTACTGGGCTTAGGGTTTAGGATTAGGGTTTAGGGTTTAGGATAGTACTCTTTTACCTTTTTAATTGGGCTTAGGGTTTGGGATTAGGGTTTAGGGTTTAGGGTTTGTTTTGGAGACTCCTGATTAATGATTAAATCTGTACATTAGGAAAAGGGTACCCTTGCTATTATGGGTTTACTCGGGAACCTAGGAGCCGGAGCACTTCAGTTTCTTCCACATGTTCGAGGCCAATTTGACGATGGCCAAGGATGAGCATCCGTGCAGGGAACAGTGGACACCCCTCAACGACAAGCAGTACACGGACTACATCCAAACGGTGACACATGGCGTTGGCCCTCTCTCAATGACCCTGGACTTGTACGCTCCCACGGACATGCCCAACCATGATTGCTGCTACACGCAGATCATCCCTATCGTGGGGGTTTCCAAACGTCGGGGGTCCGCATGGGAAGTCTCTATAGGTGTCAAGAACCCTAAACCCTTAGACCCTAAATCCTGAACCCCGAACCCTAAAGCCCTAAACCCCTAACCCTTCATCCCTAAGGACTATAGCATTTTTTCTTTCGGGTTTATTTCGAGGCGCCCTGGCATATTGACTGCCCGAGCTTGCTCGAGAAGCCCGTTGAAGTCCGTATCGATGGGACTGGGCCATTTTGCTGCCCGAAGAATCTGGGATTTTGCTGGAAATATGTATATAAGACAGTTTAGTGTTTAGGATGTCGTCGTTTTGTTGAGCAACATGTATGACGCTCGGAACTCAATATTCTAAGAAATCGAAGGTGCATGTTTAGGAGTCTGTCTTTCGAAGGTTCCGAGACAGAAGAAGAGTAAGGGAGTTCTAAACGGAGCCCTCAACAATACACGAAACAATTAACCCCAATACCCTAAACTGCTCTAAACCCTTAACCCCAATACCCTAAACCCCAATACCTTAATACCCTAAACTCTAGTGCCCCAATACCCTAATAAACTAAAACCTAGACCCCAGTACACCCTAAACCCTAATACCCCAAGACCGTAACCCCTAAACCGTATACAGGGGTGCCACTCCTACCAACCCGTGCGGCAATGAAACCCGCTCTGCGACCTCGGAGGCGGGCTAAGGTTTAGGGTTTAGGGGTTTAGGGTTTAGGGTTTGTAGGGTTTAGGGCTTAGGGATGTTTAGCTTCTAGGGGCTAAGCAAGCAGGTATATACAGGGTTTAGGACAGCATGCACCCTATACACCCTTAACCTAAACGGTTTAGGGTTTAGGAGTTTAGGGTTTAGGGTTTAGGGTTTAGGGTTTAGTAAGGGGGACGCCTGCAAGTTACCTGGTGCTACGATAACCTATCCCTAAAGGATACCCCGCATCTGAGAAAGCCACAACCCTAAACCCCAAACCAAACCCTAAACCCTGCATGCCCCTGAACCCAACACCCCAAACCATAAACCCTGAACCCTACACCCTAAACCCCATTATAGTAGTTTCCATTTTTGTTTTCCATTATCCCTATATAACCGCAGAAATTTGAAAAGGTCATCGTCTAGGCACCTTCAAGGGGTGCCGCAGGCGTGGATGCTTGAGAGGAGCGTCCTAGCCCAGGACGAGTGAGGCGGAAGCTTTTCCCTCTACAGGCTCCAAGTACCTGTAAGATAGCGTATGCTCCTTGATATCGGGTATATATATATATATAAGCACAGGTATCAAGGAGCTACTGCAAGGGATGTCTGACAGTGGGGTATAGGCTGCAAAGTACGTACAAGTCGCAGTGTAAGGTCCCAAGTATATCTTCTACAGGATCTTCTACAGGTATCTGGAGCCATTGGCTTCAATTGCTCACCTTCGTTTTGCGATTGCGAGCTTGAACCAATGAAAATGGAGGAAGTTTGACAAGTCCGGTCCAATACTCGAACCCCTATGCATACCTAGACCTACCTTGTCATACCAGGATATTAGGATATTGGCCGCCAAGCAATACTAACAAACCCCAAAGCCTAAACCCTAAATCCCAACCTCGACACCCTCCAACCCTATACCGTGTGGTACGGAAGGATCTCGAAGTAGAGGACCATGGGCTTCAAGCTTTGATTGGTGTCGGGTGTATGGTTTAGGTTTGCGGTTTAGGATTTCAAGTCTGAGGTTTCAGGTGTACGTGTAAGGTTTGTCGTTTAGGGTGTGGTTTATACGCTACCTGTCGCAAGAATGTCAGTTTTGAATCTACATGGCTCATTGCTTTTATTCAAGATCTTGCGGCACCCTGAGTGCCTCACGCCTCGGTAGTAATGCTATGCTCGTACTCTGAGGTCATACAGGATGTTTCGTAGCAACGGTAGTATGCGCCAATCATCCGGGGTTCCCTACATATTGCGGGTCCCTGGATGCAGTTGCCTGCATCCCCAGATGTACCTAGGTTCCCCAAAACTCCTACATGAGCCCTATAAACCTTAAACCCCAAGCCGTAAACATGCCCATAGAGTCGTAGGATTTGTAGCTTTCAGCTCTAAACCCCCAGCCCTAGAATCTCATTTATGGGATCCTTAAGGGGGCCTCTTATATGTTGGACCCATAATTAAGCCTTTTTAAGACTTCGCTGAACCCTCCCTAAGGCTCCCAAAAGGTCTCCTATTGTGGGGCCCCCTTACATGGGGCGCCCTGAGGGCTTCCATCACGTATTAGCTTTCGGCCTAGGCTTGAGACTGAGAGCAGTATAGTGTCAACCGATTTGATGGATGCAAAGCTGAGGCAGGAGAAGCAGAAGTTCAAAGACCTGGGCCTGGTAGAGGCCTGGGTCAGGGTTTAGGGTTTAGGGCTTAGGGTTTAGGGTTTAGGGTTTATGGTGGTTTAGGGGTTGAAGGGTTGAAGGGTTTAAGGGTTTAAGGGTTTAAGGGTTTAAGGGTTTAAGGGTTTCGGGTTCGCTTGCCGGGCCCAGCCTCTGCTTGAAATGGATGCCAGTTTTCCCGGTTTTTTA